TTTTTTTGTATCTTTTTCACGTTGTGAATAATATGCTAAACATATTAGCAACAAATACATAATATAATTTTAGTTTGGAGAAAGTTTTTTCTTTTTCTTCAAAAGAAAAATTTTGATTAGTTGTAGAAGAAAGATGGTATCACTGTCAGAACGTTAATTGATCTTTTTCTGTTGTAAAAGAAAATCTGTATGATATTTTTGATGAAAGATTTTGTTGTTCGATGAACTTTTGTATCCTACAATTTTTTTATTCCGAAAATTTTTTGTTTTCTAGAAACTGGCTTTCAATGGTGGTTCCCTATTTGCTACAGTGGGGTAGTCTGCTACCACCATTCTACAAATATGGGGTATTTTTGTTGTGTGGATTTGAAATATTTTGGTCGGCACTCAGTTTAGCTGTTGGACAACAGTATTATGAATACGCTGAAGCACTTTTTCCAATTGCTTTTGATCTGTTCGACGAAACAGCAAAATCGGAATTGAAACCGGACAATTTTACATGGACTGCCGAAGATAAGGCTGCACTGACGCTGGTTCAAATTACTTCTATTTAATTTTGATTGAACACAACAAACGGTAGATAAGGGAGAAGAAATCTTCAAAGTATACCGTTTATATCAATGCAAAATGAATTCTGTGTTGATAGAAAACGATTCGTAAGGTATCTGAAACTGACGTCCGCCTGTCTTCAAAAAAAAAAAAAACAGAAGTCATTTGTGGTTGAGCTGAGAAATCTGCAGTACGTAGAAAACAGCAACACGTTTCCTGTATTTACTGTACAGTTTTAGATGCAATATTTTTTTCATTTAAAATTATAAACTATTTAATAGGTTCTTGTCTAATTGGGTACTGGTAATAATACAAAAAAAAATTGGTTTCTAAAAATCCAAAGATTATTACAGTTAAGATTTTACTGTTTAGAGTTCTAGCAAAAGTTTTGTTGCATTGTCATTAATTTTAACATAGATATTAGTGTATTGCACAATATTATTGAAAAAAAAATAGAAAGAAACGATTAAAATTTATAGTTGCTCTTAACTGTTGAGTAGCAACAATAGAAAAAGAAGTGGAATTACAAAAAAAAAAAAAAAAGTGCTCATTACATCTTTGCTATCGTCGTTATTATCTTAAGAAGAAAACTTGTTTTTACAACAATTTATTAACTGAACACAAAGTCTCATGAAGAAATTGTGACAATAGAAGAAACAAATCTGGGAATTTACGTCATAGAAATGAGATGTAAATTAGCTGTTTGAAAAGATAAGAATTACTATTTTCTTTTTTTTATAAAAAAAAATCTTATTAAAATTTTGACTAAATTTAAAAAAATTTTTTTTTTTCAAATTTGCAATTTTCGCTATTGTAACCGTAGCTGAATCATCGGTTTATTGTTCAAAATAATTCAAGTCATGATAATAACCAAGTCAACAACTAATTGCACTGTAGCAGATGCAAGTTTGGTTGAGAAAAGGCAGAGAAAACTTAAGGTAGATGAATAGAAAGGCATAGTTTTGGAAAAAAATTGAAAAAATTGGTGTTTTTGGGAAACAGACTGAGCCTCTTGAAACGGAATATTATGCTGAGGGTAGAGTACGAAAAAAAACAAAAAACTAAAGAAGGAAAGAGTACAAATATGGAAAGTGTGATAATAAGTTGAATTTAAAAGTAATACGATGAAAATGAGGAAATGAAAAAGTGAACAGAAAAGTAGTGGAATTATAAGAGAAAGAATAATCAGAAGAAAACTAATAGTGGAACAGTAATTTCAGTGTATGACCAGGTTGCAGCTAGTATGGTTCACTTCTACACTTACAATCCTGGTTTCGATGCTATTTATGATTCCATATTTCTTCAAGTGTGATGAACAACTAAAAAGTAGACGAGTAGGTTTTCCATTTTCTTTTTTACTTCTTTCTTTATTTCTTTCATTAGTAACTATAAATTTTTTGGTAGAAAATATATGTTCATAAAACAAAAAGAAGAAAACAAAAAAGCAGAAAAGTAATTTGTCACCAACTTATTTGGGATTGATTAGTGATTTATGGTTGTCAATGCAAAAAGTTTGATGCTGTTTAGTAACGATTATTCAACTTTTTGGATATGGTCAGATTAAACTGAAGCGTCATAAAATGTTACTACTGCAGCCTTAACTAATATTTATTATTGTAATAAAACTGTTTTTTTTTTCTGTTAATTTTTTACCATTATCTGGATAATTATATGTATACATTTAAACACTGATGATTTTGAAAAAATTTTTCAGTTTTTCAGTCTTTATACACTAATGTGGTTATGTGCTATAATTTTCTTAACGTTTGCCTTTATTAATGCGGCACTATTTTTATGGGTTTATCTTAATGCACCCTCAGATAATGCGCTGTTTTTTACAAATTTTAACAAAGTTGAAATTGGCGAGGAATATGTGACAAGAATTGAGCGAGCTTTACAGTGTAATTCTGATGAAGATTTGGAAAATATCCCACTGCATACGGTTAGTTGCAATTACACCATCCTTGAAGTGTTAGCAGTATCTTTCTGGTACTTTTCTGTTTAACTTCAGTAGCATCAGAATTAATTTTGAATACACTGTGATAATGATAAAATTCAAAGATTGTTTTTACCTATTAGTTTTATAATGTCATGATGTTGGAAAAAGAAAATTAGAGAGACAAAATGAGAATGGAAGTGAAACGGAAATGAATTTTATCTCAAGTTTTAAGTGTTATCAGATTTGGGCTTTGCTAAGGCTTTACTTTAGTAACAAGTCTTTATAGCTTCTTGACCAGTATGTCTATTAAAACTGCATGATCATTTGTAATAAATCTTCTAAAAACTAAAATATTAAAAAAACTTCGGTTTTGTCTTAGTTGATTGTGTTTGGTAGGTTTTAGCTGTATAAGACATGAAAATTTTTGTTAAAACTTTATCATAACTGAACTTAACTCATTTCTCTCTGTCACGCTCAATGTCTGACAGTTTACTAAGCGTCGGATTTAGAAAACGATTAGGCTTTACTCAGTAGTGGATATTGAAATTTTTAATAGAATAAATTAACAAAGCAAATCTCTTAGTAGTTTTGCAGAAATTCTAGGAGAAACAATTTGAATTCAACCCAACACAACTCTCTTTAGCCAAAATCTAATAAAAATTTAAATTTTCTATAAAACAGTATTTATAACTTTTACTCTATTTTATTGCTATTTAAGATAAAGTATAGTCAGCAGCAAAAACTTCTTTAACACTTGATTTTAGTTTGAGTAAATTATTTCGTGACTTGTCGACAAACCAAAGACTACGTTTCTCGAGAAACTGTAATGAACAGTCTCTAAGACAGTCTAAAAAATTACAAGTCTTGCTGTTGATCGCCACTTGTTTATAATGACCTGAGATTAGTGAAAATCGTTTGAAAAGTGAAGTTGAGTAACGAGTAGTTCAAAAATATTACATTATTTACTGCTGTGTATACTACAAATGTATTGTTAGTCAAATTTGAAACTGTTGACAGGAAATAAGCATCCAGCTTTGTCTTTGTTAGTTTTAATTTATCTAACAGTATTCTGCATTTACTTGACATTTCTCTTATTTTTTTAGACTTGTGAATTCTCGATTCGACGATCTGTTATAAGCCGAGAATTATTAACTCCATTATCATATATATGGCTTATTGGTCATGCAGTAATTTTATTATTGTTTGGTTTTCTTAACAAAGGTATGTAAACCTTTTTTTTCTTTTTTTTTTTTTTTTACACTTATAAAGCATTGACTGTTAGACTGTACCACAGAGTTGACATAGTATTCAAGTTAATCTTTATGATAAGTTGATCAGTTATCAGCATTTGTCAGTAAACACAGTAACCGACCTTTCCGTTTTTACTTCTTCTTTTCTGCACCGATCACAATCAATCTGCTTCATTGGTCACTGTCGATTCGCTGTTTTTGATGTTTATGTTTGTCACCAAAAAATCACTATGCTTTTCCTGTCGTTCATTTTTTTTTCCTGCCTGTTAATAGCTCATTTCTGCTCTTTTATTCAGTTTCTTGACTTTTCCTCTGTCAAAGCAAACCTTTTTTTTTTTTTTTTTTTTGCACCACAGCATGTATATTAAATTAGATTCTGGTCCAGAGCAATCTGTTGAGTGCCGATCCACTAAGTACAGGCTGGTTTTTGCGGAGACATAGCAAGAACTTGTATGCATTATTTGTGCAGTTATTATGGCCGCTGTTTCATTTTTTTTTTTCCTGGAATCAGTGACTTTAATATGATAAGTGTCAGTGACAATAACCGGCTATATTTGGCTTAGACGAATTCTGAAAACGTCTGAAGTAATGCAGAGAATTGAAAAAGTTTGCCAAGTTGTATAAATATACATACGTTATTGGTTTGCTGTGAATGAGGAGTGAACTGATTAGCACCGTTTCTTTATTTTTGTATCACTTCTTTACCACTTCTTTTCCCTTACTTTTTCTTTGGCATTTTTCCAACTTCTTATCGTCGTCGTCATCGTCATTGTCAACACAGTTACCACTATCTTCTTCTTATTTATTTATTTTTTCTTTCTTCTATATTTTAACAGTTACTTTTACTTTTTATAACAAAAAAAAAAATAATAATTTTTTAAATGCAAGAAAAAAAGAAAAAAAATTTAGTTGAAAAAAAAAAAGAATTAGCAATTTTTCTCAGCACTTTTTCAAACTTTTACATTTTTTTTTGCAAATTTTCTTTTTCTTTATTATCAACTGACAGTATTATTTTAGATTAAGTTAAAAAAGGAGTAAAAATGATTGAGAAATTGCTGCCTAATCAGTGATTTACTTACACTTATTGCTGCTATTGCTGTTAGCACTGCCACTGCTGCAAATGCTACTTTTTCTTACATTTTTTTTTTACTTTATTTACTTTCTTTTTTTTTATTTTAATCTAAAGAACATTAAAGAAGCAAACAAAGAAGAAAAAGAAAAAAAAAAGGAAAAAATTTAAAAACTATAATTTAATGATACCAAATTTTGTTTGTATTTTGCAGAGCTCTAACTGTGAAATGCGTTATATAACACAGTATATATGTCTACAAATCTGTTATACAATTCTGACAATATGAAATCGGTTATGGAACTATGAAAGCACAAATATTGGTTAAAAGCCGGTCTTAAAAAAAGTAAAAAACAAAAAAAAAAATTGCAATACAAAGCAAAAAATACATATATAAATATTGTCATTATTATCACTTGAACAGTTTTTTTTTTT